ACCAGCGACAAGGGTAGGTGGAGCAGATAACTTCCCCCTCCCTTGCATCTTGGACTGCTGGTGGGCTCCTGAGCAGCTGGAGAGACCTGCCGACACCAGCCCAGAGACGGCTGTTGCCAGTGAGCAGTGGCCTCTTGCGGACTCAGCGCCGGGCTCCCAGCCCCTTCGGGGCACCTCCCCAGGCACAGACCCGAGCCTATCAGTAGACGCCATAGTGCCCCATTCTCTCCTTCCCCCTCCCTACCCGTGGGTGCCCAGAGAGACAATTTAGCCATCACACGGAGGCATCTCCAAGGAACGGGACCTTTCCTTTTGGGGCCCTACAACAGACTGAGGGGTACTCAGACTGCGAGTTCCCTACCTGCCAGCCCTCCCAGGTGTTACTTGCCTGGGGACTCCAGGAGAGTGGGGCAAATCCCGAGGTGGAGTGAAATCGATCCAGCTTGGGCACCATGTAGGTGATTCGGGACCAGCGCCTCTCTACCTAGCAGGGTCAGGGATTGATCTCCAGAGTCTAGGGGTCAGGCCTGCAGATCAGACCCTGTGCACCCGGGTTGCAACCGCGCTGGCCTGGGGCATGGAGGAGGGATCTGTGAAGGAGCCTACTGAGGAGTGTGCGCCTTCAGGGGCGGGTCGGCATGTCTGACCGGTGGCCCTCCTCCTAGAGGAGGGCTGTGCACCCAGCTCGGGCTACGATCATGGGTGCGGAACCTCCCAGCCCGCCCAGCCCGCGTCACAGCCAGGGGGGATCGATCGGCCTGAGGCCCCGCTTGCTGGCGGAGGCCTGGGGGAGGACACGGAGAGGGGGAGATTGGAGAGGAGCGAGACCTACTCCAGAGTGCAGGTCTTGGACAGCCCCACCCCCCAAGCACAGACTTTCAGCTGAGTGGAGCCATTTCAGCCCCTCCCAGCAGCTCTGCACAGAAACAAAGAGCAGAACTTTGACTGCTTCTAACAGCAGCTGTGGAGCCTGAGGGCAGGCTTATCCAACCCAGCCCCACCCGGACTCACTCTCGGTTCTGCCCCCACTGAGGGGGAGAATAAGGACAGCTCAGGCTATGATCCTGAGTAGGGAACCTCTCTCCCACAGCCCACGTCACAGCCAGGGGAGATCCATAGGCCTGAGATCCTGCTTGCTGGCAGAGGCCTGGGAGAGGCCACGGAGTCGGGGAGAGTGGAGGGGAGCGAGACCTGCTCTAGAGTGCGGGCCTTGGGCAGCCACAGCCCCCAAGCCCAGACTTTCAGCTGAGTGGAGCCATTTCAGCCCCTCCCGGCAGCTCTGCACAGAAACAAAGAGCAGAAGTTGATCCCTGCTAACAGCAGCTGTGGAGCCTGAGGGCAGGCTTGCCCAACCCAGCCCGACCCAGACTCACTCGTCCCACTGAGGGGGAGAATAAGGACACACCTGCAAATCCCAGGGCCCCACCCACCAACCAAGGCACAAGAGGGCCTCTCTAGAGGAATAAGACCTAGCTACAGGACCCAAAAACAGCACCGCAGCTCGCTCCTCCCTGCAAGTGCCACCTACTGACAGGGAGGTCATCCTGCACACCCTTTTACTGCATCTACTGATTCATCATAAAGGGTGTGCTCGAATCT